TTTAGTGAAACGAGCTCCTTGATTTGCGAAGACCGCCGATCAAGAACGTAAAGATCTAGGAACAATCAGACTTTGAAGAATCATGACCCGAAATGAATCTATCATCAGAATCTTAGTAAAATAATCTAAAACGCCAAAACTTGATTAAATTGATAAGTTTCATGAAAGAACGCCACAAGAATTAGTGGTTCTTGATGAGTTCTAGAGATCAAGATGCAATTAAAAAAAAAAAACAAATATTTAATTATTACTTCCCAAAAGTGTACGGCCAAAACCACCTACAACTATATATAACTAATTAATTAGCCAAAAATAAGGTTAACAACCCATTAATAGGTCTTAACCCTATAAACTAATTCAAACCCACTAATAAAAATAATAAAAGACTTAGACTTTAGTAAATAAATAGCTCCAGCCATTACACCAAAAAATCTTAAAATAGCCCATAAAATAGCATTATAAACCCCATGAATAAAGGCTTGGATGCCAACTTGGACTCAATTAGGGCTAACAAAATCGGTCTTTAATTCCTCAAACTTAGACTTGGCTTCAATCTTGTTAACATCTTTTTGGATCCCTCTGAGGCATACTCGGCTCCATGCATTTCTTTGGCTTCAAGTTCTTCAATTACGCTTGACAAAGCATGTTGCATCTTTTTAACTCGACTCCTCATAATCGGGCCCACCAGAATGTGAAGAGGATCTTGTGTAGGCTTTACAACAACAGGTTGCTCAGTCATGTCCTCATCATTTAGCCAGCCAAAACTTCTATTGTCACCCGATGAGACCATAAAGTTAACATACCAGAAATATAGCTGCAACAGAACCAAAAATCTTTTACCTTGCAAGTGAAAGCACCGTAAAGGTAATTTTGTTCATAAAAGTTATATGGCAACTAGGTCGTCTCCTTCCTTTCATGTTCTTCTGAACCTAACAATGTCTTAGTCATTCTGTCCAACTGCCGTATATTTCCCTCATTTCCATATGAGACCGATCCCAACAACAAACTCATAGACAATGCATTAATCTCAATTGAACTACACCCAGGAACCTTTCTGACACCAAGATCCTTCATTTTCCTTCTCACCTTTGTTACATCTTCCCATCTGGCAGCAGTGGCATATAAATGGCAAGCAGTGTATGAACAGTGGAATCACTTGATTCAATTTTCTCTAGCAATCCAGCCAGCCGCTCACCCATCTCAACATTGCCATAGATCTGCAGGCGCTAAGCAAAGAACCATAAAGTGGAACTATGATCTTATTGTTTTCATCTGGTATCTTTTTTATCAACTCCTCAGCTTCATCTAACAGTCCAGCTCGACCAAGCAGGTCAATGAGACACCAAGTGTTCTAGCTTTGGCTTAATCTGATATATTCTGTCATTGCACCAAAGAACTTGCGCCTTCCTCGACCAATCCTCCATGGCTGCAAGCACTTAAAACACCAATAAAGTTATATCATCGGTTTAGCCCCGACTTGTTTCATTGCTGAAAACAACTCCAATGCCTTGTTGTCTCCCATTCATGGAAGGCCACATATAACTGAAGTCCAGCGGCTGTATCCTTTTCCCTTAGCTTATAGAATATCTCCAAAGCCTTCTGTGTACATCCACATTTTGCATACATTTCAATAAGTGCAGTACAACAACTGCATCCACTGTAATTCTTTTTCTCAATGTATCCATGAATCCATTTCCTTGCTCTAGAGCTCCCACCTGAGCACAACCTGTGAGGAGAGTAACCAGTATGAAATTATCTGGCTTAAACCCTCTTACTTGCATTTCTTGAAATAATGCCACTGCTTTGTCAAACCGGTTAAATTGCACATACCCATTGATCATAGCTGTCCAAAGAACAATATCCCTAACTGGACTTCTGTCAAACAACTCTCTAGCTTCATCTAGCTGCCCACAATTCACATACCCAGACACCATACTAGTCCAACAAAAACATTCTTGCTTGCCATGTCATCAAATATTTTCCTCGCTATACTCAAACAACCACACTTACAATACAGTCTAATAAAACATTTCCTATTATATTAGTGAATTCAAGCTTCTCATGATATAACAATGGATTTCATTGCCAAGTTCCAAATTTTTCAATGCTGTACAAGCTGACAGAGTGCTTACAACCGTAGCCTCATCAGCCTCAATTACTTCTTGCTGCATCCGCCGAAAAACATTAACAGACATCCTCAAATGCCCTACACTTAATGTGCCCCGATTGGACACATTCAAGAAACCAAATTTTCTCAGGCATTTCATCAAACAACTTCTTCAAATATCAATTTTATACAATAAAGCGTACATGTCCATGAGCGAGTTGCAGACATAGGTATCAAATTCAAGACCAGTTTTTACCACATACCCGTGAACCTTTTCACCTTCCTTAGCTCGTAAGTACCCAATCACCTTAAGAACAAATGGGTACGTAAAATTATCTGGCGAAAACCCATGTTCTCTAGATTAAAAATAGCAAAAGAGATTTTATAACTACCCTTCTTTGAAAAGCTCTAATCAGGAGATGTATATAAACAAACTTGGACCTTCAATATAATTGAAGATCTTCTCTGCGTAGAGTAAGTTCCCAAGAGATGGGTCCGTGCAAAAGACCATGAGCTTGTTGAGTGTATCTGTGCTTTGGTGGGCCCCACTTGAAAGATTTGTGCCTGTATTGTTTTGAGATGGGTCATAGATTTGCAGTTTTTGAGAAGAAAGAACATGATTTTGGTTATTGTTGTGTTAAGAGAAGAGCTAAACAAGTGGTTTGGCGGGAAAAAGACTGGATAACTGATAAACTTGTGGAGGGAGCATTTGAACTTTGGTGAGAACTGAGAACTGTATTGTCTAAGCTATCGAAATGGTGCAAATGCATAATAAGCAAAGTGCATATGATCAACCAAGCACAAAATGGCTACAAACCTTTAAATAAGCTTAAGGTTGAGCATGTTAGTAATATCAAGAGCACTGGTAATAACGTTGAAAGACCCAGTTAGTTAAAATCTGATAATGCGGGGGTTGGCGTTAATCAGAAAACTTTGAACCTTAAGGACCTCATTATTAGCGAGAAGGATGTCATAACTCAGATTATTCTCAACTGAACTTCATTAATTTTAAAGTAAAAACCCAAAGAAAAGTTTCATATTATAACATACATAATGTAGCTAGGTCCCAAGTCAAAACAAATAGGCTACTCACACAACATTTGTTTGCAAATATTACACCACATTGAACATTTGTATTATACGAACTCCCCCCCCCCCCCCCCGCGCCCCACCCTTTCCATATCAGAATTTCCAGCCAGTCACCAGCAAAATTGCTTATTTGCTTTACCCTATTTAAGTACAAGAAAACAGAAAAATTCCATGACAATACAAATCATGAATCAACTAAGTGTTTTTGCACCCAAAATTCTAGAAAGCTCCTTTATAATAGGCTTCTCCGTAAAATCTTCCGGTTTTCCAAATGCCATTTCTTTTGTGTGTTTTCTGCCTGGTCAAAAGCTTTGAGTTAGCACAAGCAACTAACAATCAGCAAAAAAGTATATCATTTATGTAAAGAAATTTTCAATTCACATACCCAAGTTTTTATGGGAGTCAGTTGCTCCTAATTATGTCAAATTTTGGCTGAACCAAGTCTCTTGCTTTCGTACGGAGTCTTCAGTCTGAAAAAAAGAGAGATCAATTTCAGTAACTCGTCACCTACCATCAGAAATCTATGAAACTGAGACAAACATATCCTCTAGAAGAATGAAACAAATATATCAACGTCAAAGAAAAGCAGTTCACTTTCACTTTCACTTACACTTTCACATCGATAGAAATGGTCTAAGTGATGACTGTAGCCAAACATGGCAAGGCTTGTGTTCTTATTTCTTACCCATTCAGAATTGAATGAATTTACTTCCTTCCCAGGAAACTGATTCCTACCCATTCCTTGATTCAGTATGAATGTTTCTATATCCTAATATATATGTATAACTATTCATATTCTTCCTTCTAAGCTTCAGCTTTGAGGAAAAGAATAGTTGTTTGTTGTGTTGGGAGAAACAGGATATGTCACATTGGCAAGGCTGATACCTCAGATTGATTATTACTGATGCGAAGGGAATGCAGATGAAGACTCTGAAGCTACGCCTGTGGCACAAAAGCATTTAGAGTTGCTAACGTGATATGGATGGAGGTTGGCAATTCTGGGTTTGAGGCTGCATCTTCAAAGTATATGCCATCTCACCACACACAAACCTAACCTATCACTTTCATTGAATTTTACGGATCTCAAATCAATGCTTCTCTAAAGACATAGATACTTTTGGTTTTCACATGGTCATATTGGGGAATTCAAAACCATTTTTGGTCCAGGTAAAGGCATAACACCTTGAAGCTAGTTACTGTCTTGCAGTCTACGGTAGGTAGGTTGAATAACATAGGATGAAGAGGAAATAGTAGCAGGTTTTTAACTTTACGGAAAGCATGAAATAATACTACAGCCTTGGGTCAAAATTTCAAGATTATGGAAAAAAGAACTGTACTTACATTGTGTGCATCAAGCTTGGATGCTGCCATCCCAAAATAGCAGTAGCCCTCCAAATATAATCACAGTTGCAACTGCAAAGGCCTTCCAACTAACATAAAGACATAACACTGAGCATCAGGAAGCTAAGGAAAACTTCGATTGATTTAAAGAAAATTAAAGCTAGATTTACTCCCTGATAAGATGATATTAAAGTTAACCACACCAAGAAGTATAGTCGCAAGGGAAATGCACCACAGACATACAAAACTTAAGTCATTCAACTTTTACTGATAGGTTCCCAAATCAATTACTAACTGAACAAGAAAGTGGCTTCACATTAGTCACCAAATGTTATTGCCAAATACTAAGGCCCTCACAACCTAAGTTCACTTCACACCAGCTTAAATTCTTAATTTTCCTCAATTCTCAATGTCATATGCCTCATAATTTATAATTTTACATAAAACCTCTTTCTATTTGTTGTGATTTGACAGCTACACACAGATAATTAGATATTGGTTTAAAACATAAACCTCGTTACAGAATCAAGCCTATCTTACTTAGTTTCGGTGTAAATTCATAAATCATTTAGTCAGAATTCGTACCTACTTTTCAATTGTACAACAAAGAGCTACTCTACAAAGTTAACTGACTCATGGTACATTATAAAAAGATTGTCATATTGAAGAGGTAATTTTGCTAAGCAAGATAGAGATTACAAATCCTACTTTGTTGAAGTCCTTCAGCCGCGGCCTTTAACTTCTCAGGGTTTACATGAGGTGTATATCTGTCTCGCCTTAATTCATTAGCTGTTGAAGCCAAAAATGAGTGCTCTTGACTGGGCAATTCCCACCTGAATTAACGAACAGAAACACTAAAAGCATCTCAAAAAACTCTTTATATAATTCAAACTCTTTATTATAAGGAGTTTGTCCATAAAAACAAGAGCCTAATAAAATTTTTATTCTTTAAATATAAATTAAAAAGTGAGTTTGACTCTCTATATCTAAAGAGTCAAAATGTCACTCTCTATCCCAATTTTATTTAATAAATTATAAGTTTTTATGCATTTTATTATTAATTCTCTCTTTTGTTAAGTCTCTTTCTTATTTATTAAGTCTAATTTAAAGAATCTGAATTTAAATTCAAATTTTGTTATTTATATCTAGAAATTAATAAAAATACTAATATAACATAAATCTTCGTAATGATAACCAAAAACACAACGATATTGTAAAAGAACAAGTTTAACATTATATGATAGGCAAAATTGAACCTTTTGGGGCCAAAGGTGACCTGCGGCAAAGAAAGGTAAGCCCTGAGAGGATTCAAAGCATGAGGTGAGACAGAGGAGGCATTTGGGTCAATGGGTAGAACCCACTTGGAACCTGTGGAGAGAGATGATGGATCAGACGGTCGACGGAAAATCTTGGATGGCAGAGAGTGTCTTAACACCTCGGGAAGCACGTCAGCTTTGAATTCATGCTCACCCAATGACGCTGAAGAAGAAGCTGGTGAAGCCACATTCTTGGTGTTGGTGGTGGTTTTCTCTACAATTCTGTTTACAGCTTGTTTGGATTCCTGGAAAAAAAATGCTCCCTCTTTTCCCGCTAATCTTCCTCCTGCAAGAAAACTCATTTCTGTGCGTTTGTCAATGAAATCAATTTCAGGTTTCTCAAGGTTGGATTGGTTGCTGTGGCTGATTAGATTTTGAGTAGTGTTCTATTTATAGCAGGAGCGGTAACGTTGCTGTTTTATACGGTTTCTTTTTTATTTTATTTTTTTAATGTCAATTATCTTATTGGATTATTGTTTTAATGTACCAGTAACCTTACCCATATTTTGATCAATGACCCCAATTAATTACCAAATTTGAAATTCCTTCAATACAATATAATGGTTAATTTTTTTTCAAATGTATAACTGTATATAATTTAGACTTAAGACATGATCGCATTTGTGTTTATCAGGAATTAGATAACTGAATCGTGTTAAATAATAAATTTAAAATTCTATATGTGGATTCAAATAACCTGATTCATTCGTTCAAGTTTAAAAAGAAAAACATATAACAATAATAATAATAATAATAAACTTATTTTATGAGAATAATTGAACGCCGTTGAGTACGTTGTGTGCAAAACAAGTAAAACCATTATTAGTAGTTCAATATTAGATAACTAAAACCAAGTTAGAGAGTGATTTTTTTAATTTGAATTTAGTAAATAATTCAGGTGAGTCAAATATAAGGGCTATTTTAAAATGAAAGGTTAAAAGAGAAGACTTTGCTCTTTAACATTTTCTTGGAAACCAAGCAGTGAAGCCCCTCCTCTTTCTTGCTTGAAGGAAAAGATTTTTCATATTTTATGAAAATAATTTATTTTCAACCACAGTTTAGTTCTTTTATTGTCAACTCACTACATTTCAAGATTATACTTCATTCACTTAAACCGATCATAAATTTAAATTGAAGGATAATAATTTGGGTTAGAGTGGTATTGCATGTACATATTAAGTATGATGTGACACAATTTTTTATTATATTAATTCCACATTTATGGAGTTGATATTTTTATTTTGTGTCATATCAATTTATATATCTAATATCATCCTTCGAGTTTGTTGTGCATGGTTTTCCACCAAGCTCGGGCCAATATGAGGTCATAGCTCAACTTAGAATGATCTCGGCAACTATGATTGATCGACTCAGCATAAGCTCATCAAGTTATAGCTCAGCCCAATACAAGTTAGTCGCAGACAATCCCAAGGATTAATCAATCAATCCCCAAATTATTTCACATCTCGGATATCACGGGAATGACTGGATCAACAGTTATCGTTGAGCGATCATAGCGCTCAATCGCAAGGATATCAGAATTGTGATTCAAATCATTTGTAATCCCCTTAATTTCGCTCATTCCTTTATGTAAATCTTGTATATAAACCCCCTAAAACGATGAGAAGGGGGATATGAATTCTGGATTAAAATTACATTGTAAGCTCTCACAACATATAAAAAAAAAAAACACAGTGGATGTAGGCTGTTAACTTCGCTGAACCACTTTAAAAGTTCTCTTTGTCATTTATTTTCTGGCGTTATCATTCACTCATCGCTGATTATCAGTAATCACGCCCACATCAGTTCCGATCCTAACGAGGTCGATCGGATCTCGCTGGTTGGTGTAGATTTTTGTATCAATATTTTGGCACTCCTCGTAAACGTTCACCGTGATTTACCTATCTCAGGACCAAAATGATGTTCACCAGATCAAGAACTACCACCGAAAATCAAGAGAACATGGAAACCGCCCAACAGGAGGTGCAACAGGAGAACGCTAGACGCCGATCACAAGTGCCTCCGGCTCAGCATGCCACAAACAATCAGGGGGCAGGGACATCAAATCTCGAGAACGGCCAGTTGATGGAGATGATCAAAACAATGGTTGCACAGGTGGTTCAACAGAACGTGGCTGAGCTGAGGAACTAACAACCAGTCTCCCAAAACCCCGACCAGCAGCGTTTTACCAACGTTACCCCAACAAGTATGAATTCTATAGGTCGACAGTCCATTTCGTCGCTGCCAGGGGGCGATCAACATTGCCAACCTCACAGGCAACTCCTCACGCACGAGCGAGAGTCCTGCGAGCAAACAAACCCCGGGAGGCGATTGGGGAAGCAGCCGTTGAGGGAAAGCGAAGGCGACGGACACCATCGAGAAGGTCGGCGGTATCCCTAGCGTCAGCGTGTCAGTTTTAACCCACGCCCAAGACAAGATCGATCTTCACAAGCTCGTGAAGCGAGCCATGTGCGTCAATCTGCCAATGATTGATATTCTGGTTATAACCGACGTTGCGAGCAATGCACCAATGAGCATGGTAGCACCTACCAACCCAGTCATCATGACTCGAAGGAGCTTCGCAAGCGACAGACTTGCGAACCCACTTGCTCGAGGTACATGTTAACATAACCAATTAGGGGAACCAAAATGAAGACTTGGATCGCATGCAAAAGATGCTCGACAATCTAAAAGCTCGCCAGAATAACCTGGTGGAAGAAATAGTAAGTTCCCCTTTTATGGAGAAAGTTCGCTAGGCCTCGCTTCCACAAGGATTCAAGGCACCAAAAAGCAAGTTCGATAGGACAGAAGACCCCAAAGATCACCTCGACAACTTTAATGACCTGATGGAGCTACACCAGGTCAGTGACTTAGCGAAATGTCAGTGCTTCGCAATCACATTAGTCGGAGATGCCAAGAGGTGGTACAAACGGCTCAAGGCGAACTCCATCAACTCCTGACAACAATTCTCCGTGCTATATCTACAGCAGTTTTAGGCAAGGAGACAGTTTGCAATGTCGCTCGGCTACTTGAGCAACATTCACCAAAAGTGAGACAAATTGCTAACCTCGTATTTAACGAGGTTCCAAAACGAGCAAGCAAAGGTCGCTGATGCCTCCGAAGAATCCATTCAGACTCTCCTAATCGCAGGGATCAGACCTAACATGGAGCTATGGAAAGAGCTCCAGAGCGAAGACCATGTGAGCCTAGCCAAATTCTACTAGATGTCGTAAAATACCAACAATTAAAGAGCTTGTTAGTAGCACTAGCCAGGAGCTCGACACGGGGGGCCCCAAATAAGAGACAAGATCACCCATCGGATAAGCGTGGGGGCCAAGACCTCAGTGACAGGGATCGCAACAAATTCCTAAAGAAACAGAGAGTAGATAACTGCGGAGATAGGCAACCTTTCCCGCGGTATGCAAAGTACACTCCTTACTCAAGATATCGCCCGCATCTATGAGGTATCCCGAGAGGCGAAGAAGATGCCCCCTCCGGAGAGAATGGGGGGGGCTCCAAGAAAATAATGCAGAAGCCTGAGGCATCGGGTAGACTAGTCTAGTGGACAATGGAGATGAGTCAACATGACATTAAGTATATCCCGAGGACGTTGATCAAAGGCCAAGCCGTGGCAGATTTTATATTTGAGTTCTCTTATCAGCCAGAAGCCGAGCCAAGCCCGCCAGAGATAGATACCTCAAAAGAGATCGAGCAACAGAAACCAAAGAGTGACGACTTATGGCTATGGACTCTGTGTATAGATGGTTCCTCGAATGAGAAGAGAGCAGGAGCGGGCCTCTTGCTCGAAAGTTTGGAGGGAGATCCAATTAGAGTTCGTAAGAATCGGGTTCAACACCTCCAATAACGAAGCTGAATATGAGGCATTGCTCGTAGGTCTTCGTCTTTCTAGGGAAATGGGGGCAAAGTCCATCAAGATATATAGTGACTCACGGCTCATGGTCCATCAAGTTACCAAGGAATATCAGGCAAAGGAATACATGATGTAAAACCCCCCTCCAGTTAGGTATCCTCTGAATATCCCTCAATGAGAATCCCGAGGATACATGTCTGGAGAACGAGTTGTATTTAAAAAAAATCTGTATAAGGATAATAATAATAATATCCAAAACATGCATATAAAATGTCACGCAGGATCCAAACTTATAATTTACAAACTTTAATAAATTACACAATCAAAACATNGACAATGGGCTTGGGCCATATTGGGCTTGACCAGAATTTGGACCCGATCTAGAATTCTGATCTTGGTTTTGTTGTCTGGATCGGTTTAATGTTGGCGAAGTTGTGAGTTGACTGCTGTCTTTTGGATCCATGAGGGAAGTTTTGACTCAAAACTTGGTGATTTTGGAGGTTCTGGAAATTGGAAAAACGTAGCTAACTCGATGTGTTTTGTTTGCAGTTTCTGGTAAATTGGCTAGAATAGATTTGCTGGGTGAAAAGAATCCAAGTGCCTTATTTCACAGAATCTGGAAAACTGGCTAGAGAGGATTTGCTGGGCGAAAGCGAGATTAACAAGCTTGCTCTGATACCATGTTAGAATATAAGCAAGAAGGGCAAAAGAAGCAAACTGTGTTACTGAAGAGTGCCAGAATAGAAGAAGAAGACTCAACTGAATCTGTCTATTGTCTTGTATGTTTTGTATTAGAAAGTGTTCAATTTATAAAAAAATAAAAAAAAACAATTATGAATGTAATCAGAGCTATAATTACACAATAATTGAATAAAATCAATTGTTGAAGTTACTCCTGGATATCCTGTAATTTGCTTGATGCAGGATGCATAATTCCAGCAGTCTTGTCATTCATTCCATATTGCATCATTCACAACTCAGTAATGATATGAGCAGTTAACTAAAGAGCTTGACTTATTTTGGTTCTTACAACTTTATATTTTAATTCTCATAAGGCGATTGCCTGTTCAGCCCATTCTTTCAGTGTACAGACAATTTTCTATTAGAATTTCTTTATAAAAACGATTCTGTACATTTATTTGGTTTTGATTTTATGAAGCAATCCCTGAGTGGGATGATGAGACCTTTTGCCAAGGCTACCCCACGCCCCGAATGAAATGTCTTAAGGGTTTCATCTCGAGGATTTATGCCTTCTGCACTCTACAGTAGTAATAAAGAGCCTGCGGCTCCTGCTTTTTCACGGGTTAGAAACAGAATGATCTGGCCGATACCAAGACATAAAATTTAAAAAGAAAAAAATATTGCTGCTTTCATGTCAATTCAATATCCAAGGAACTATAGTAGAAGATATATTGTAACTCCCCATCTTCTCTCCGGGACTTCCTGGTTCGTTCATGGACTTGGATTTTCTCGGCCACCAAGAAAGCTGATCGTAATTTTAAAATAAAAAAACCCAAGAAAAGCTTCG